CACTTGGTAAGTCATATATGCAGCCAAATTCACTATCAGACATTCATCGTATACCAGGTCATCTGATAAACAACATGAGATTACAAGTGTCGATCAAGAAAATTTTGCATAGTTTCAATCATTGATATATATATATATATATATATATATATATATATATATGTATATATATATATATATATATATATATATATATATATTATAAATTATTAATATGATGACTAGTTTATGCACTTTAGTTATAAAGTAGCCTTATCTTCGCCATGATCCAGCCTAGTTAAGGCACACACACACACAGACAGACAGACAAGAAATTCTATCTTTTCTATCATTCTTTTAAGCATATAATTAGCTTCTACATGTAGTAGTATACATAGTAATAGTTTTATGGCCCTCAGCCACACACACACACACACACACACACACACACACACACACACACACACACACACACACAGAGTAGTTACACCTCATTGTTATACAATTCAATGAAGCAATTTACACTGAATTAGAACAAATATTTTACAAGGTTACCAGTTATCTCTTTCAATATCCAATATGTCCTTGAAATGGTGAACATACTTTCATAATGAGTACAAAATTATTTTGTGTGTGTGTGTGTGCAGGGGGAGGGCTGTCTGTCTATAAGAATGTATAACATTCTACTTGTATCGTAGCTTAACTACTTTCATAGAAGCAGAAGGAGAAGAAGAAGAAGATATTCTATAAATAAAATGATGGATAATTTTTGTCAGTTGAATAATATTGAATGAGAAATTGATCTGAATGTTAGACTGTCCTTTAGGTTCCTGGTGGAATGTAGCGCTTCAATAGCACGTCGCTATTTCACTCACTTCTTTGTAGTCTCCTTAACTTGGCTATACGACTGCCTATAAGCTTTCATTTCTTCACCGCATCATCAACATCTTGCATTTCACTCTGGAAAGCTCAACTAGTCGTTTCCTATTTGGATTCCACTCAACCACCTGGTCTGGCACGTGATATCCTCAAATAGTCTTCTCAGCCAATGCCCATTCCAATCCATCTTCATCCATTTTCTTCGTCTGCATAGTTGTTGAACGACAACTCCTCGGTTCGTTGGTTCATTGCCAGCCATGTATCTGATCTTCAGTATCGAGTGGGAGTAGGCGGCAGTTGTTGATTATGAATGTCTGCAGTTTGCTGGAAATGCTTTTCGTAACGTGCCAAGTCTCTCAACTATCAGCAAGCGATGACTTGACTGAATTATAGCTGAAAATTCGCATGTTGTTGATGCTTTATGCTGAGTGCCGTGCAGATAAATCAAGACCGGATTTTCTTTGACTCAACGATCATGCCATTGACATTCTCATGTGTGCACGTGCCGCCTGCAGTTAAAACGATCCTACCTAAGTAGGTGAAAGAGACAATTTTCTTTAAATGTTTCTCATTCACGGTGATTACTGCCTGTTTTGTTGGTGGTCGTCTATCTTCTCTAGCCTCACCTGAAGGAAGTTCATTCTTCTTTTACTGCCTATTCTATCAGTACAGTTTGTTCTTCTCATTGCTCACAGTTTTTGAGTGATTCAGTCCAGTCCACGACAATCAAGAAAATATTATTGAATAATTTTTAAGTATTTTTCAACTTGTTTCTTTGTTCTATTAACAACCAATATGTCATCTACATATCGATTCCAGAATTCTAGTTTCATCAACAGGAATGTCTAAGTTTCCAATCTTTACAATTAGTCTTCATGTAGACAACCCCCCCCCCCCCCCTGGACATTGGTATCCCTTTTTTTTCTGTTTATAAAGTTTTCCTTTGAAGTGATAATAATATTGTATGGCATAAATCAATAAATTCTATGAAACTTGAGCATCGCTACTCTTATGTGTCTGTGTATGTGTTCCGAGAAGTGTTTATCACTGTTGAAGAGAAGTTTCATTGTATCCAGGGTAATTTTTAGTTCGTTTGAAGTGTATACAGTTGTAACATTGAAAGACATCATCAGTTCATCGTTGTCAATATGAATATCCATACTGAAGAGTTGATAGAATGATCGAATGATTCGATTACATACTTACAGTTCTTTTAGAAGATTGTATATTTGGATTCCGACCACCACCTGCACTTCGTCCAGAAATACCACCTGCAGCCGCTGAATTACAAGTGAACATAAATCCTCCAACGAAAATGGAAGTCCTGAACGCCATAAAGCTACTGAAATGCGGGAAAGCAGCTGGACCAGATGGGATACCACCAGAAGCACTAAGAACAGACGCAGAGACAACAGCAGACATGCTCACACCACTATTGCAGAAGGTGTGGAAGGAAGAGAAGGTACGTGGCCATTGATTGGAAGAAGGGTTACATTGTCAAACTGCCGAAGAAGGGAGACCTCAGTGCTTGCAAGAACTGGCGCGGAATCACTCTCCTGTCCACCCCAAGTAAAATATTAAGCCGCATCATCCTGGAGAGGCTTAAAGATGTACTGGATTCAAAACTACAACCCGAACAGGTTGGCTGGATTCAGGAAGGGCAAATCATGTGCAGACCAAATTGCAACGCTTCGCATCATCATAGAACAGAGCGTAGAATGGCAATCAGCTCTCTACCTCAACTTCATCGACTTTGAGAAGTCCTTTGACAGCGTCGACCGAGAAGTAATTAGGAAACTGCTTCACTACTACGGAGTACCGCAAACCTTTATCAGCCTCATTCAACAACTATATGAAGATGCCACATGTCAAGTAATCCACAATGGGAAGCTCAGTGATGCTTCTGAAGTGAAGACAGGAGTGAAACAAGGTTGCCTACTATCCCCCATGATATTCCTTATTGTGGTGGACTGGATCATGCAGCAAACAGTAGGCAGCGAGAAGAGGGGGATACACTGGACGACGGAAAAGAACCTAGAAGACTTGGATTTCGCCAGTGATGACTTGTGCCTAATGTCACACAAACTTGAAGATCTGCAGGCAAAAACTAACAAGTTGACAGAAGAGGCAGCTAAGACGGGACTTCAGGTGAATATAGAGAAGACAGAGGTGATGAAGATACCTCACCACCAACTCCAACAACAAACTCCAATCATCATCAACGGGAGAAACTTAAAGGAAGTAACCTCCTTCACTTATCTAGGAAGCACTGTTTCAACTACAGGCGGGACGGACGAGGACGTCAAAGTCAGAATCGGAAAAACAGCAAGACAGGCTTTCATTAGCCTGAAACCAGTGTGGAGATCTTCTGCACTCAGTATGCGGAACAAGATCCGGATTTTCAACACCAACGTCAAGTCAGTGCTTCTGTATGGCTCAGAGACTTGGCGCGTCACGAAAGGGATTTCCAATAAACTACAGACATTCATCAACAACTGCTTACGCTCGCTACTGAAGATCAGATGGCCAGAAAGAATAAGCAACAAGGAGCTCTGGGAACGAACCAATCAAGAACCTATCACGCAACAAATATGCAGGAGGAAATGGAGGTGGATTGGGCATGCACTAAGAAGGTCGACTGGGGACATCACGCGTCAGGCCCTCGAGTGGAATCCCCATGGGAAGCGACGAGTTGGACGTCCGAGGTGAGGGTGACATGGAGGAGGTCGTGCGAGGAGGAAATGAGAGCTTGTGGGCTGTCGTGGAACCAGGTTCAAAAGATCTCAGAGAACAGAGGTCACTGGAGACGTGCTACTGAAGCCCTATGTTCCACTAGGAACCCAAGGGACTAATAATAATAATAATATTTGGATTCCTGTAATTGAAACAATTGGTTGTAGTGGGATGTAATAGAAAGTGATTTAAATGATGTATATGATGCCTGAATATTCATTATGTTAATGGAAGATAGTAAGGAAATCTCGGTCACATGTTTCGTCTTCCTTCAGACTCATCAAGGGTACCATTACTTACTGGAATGAATGTACATTCAACTAACGAGTAAATTCTAAACAAGACGAAACGCGCATCTTCAACTTCACTGTTTAGCACGAAATCGACCAGTATATAATGAATATCCTAGCAGTATCAAAGCACTCTGTTATCTGCAGTCTTCAAAACGTGGAGCCACGACTGCCCACAAGCTTTCATTTCTCCCTCACATGATCTCCTCCTCTATGTCACCCTCGGACGCCCAAATCACTGTTCGCCATTCGGGTTCTACTGAGCGGTTTGGCCTGGCACGTGATGTCCCCAATTGGTCTTCTCAGTGTATGCCCAATCCATCTCCACTTCATTCTGCATATTCGTTGGTCGATGGGTTCTTGGTTGCTTCATTCCCAGATTTCCCTGTTGCTTGTTCTTTCTGGACATCTGAACTTCAGTATCGAGTGGGCGTAGGTGGCAGCTGTTGATGAATATCTGTAGTTTGTTGGAAATGCTTTTCGTGACAAGCCAAGTTTCTGAACTATATAGCAGCACTGACTTGACTGACTCAGTGTTGAAAATCCGGATCTTGTTCTTTGTGCTGAGTGTAGAAGATCTCCACACTGATTTCAGATTGATGAAAGCCTGTATCGCTGTCTTTTCGATCCTGGTTTTGAAATCCTCGTCTGTGCCTGCGCCACCTGTAATTGGAATGTTGCTGCCTCCTAGATAGGTGAAACAGACTACTTCCTTTAGGTTTCTCCCATTCATGGTGATTGGAGCTTGTTGTTGGCTGGGTATCTTCATAACCTCCATCTTGTCTACATTCACCTGAAGTCTCGTCTTTCCTGCCTCTTCTGTCAACTTGTTAGTTTTCGCCTGTACATCTTCGAGTTTGTGCAACATTAGACAGTGTTAACATCATCGGAGCGAAATTCAAATCTTCTCCTGGGGTTTTTTTCATCGGTCCAGCAAGCGTATCCACATCTTCTCACAGCTCCTCACGGTTTGCTGAGTGATCTAGTCCACCATAACCTGGGAAGATCACTTCAAAGGCGTCACTAAGCTTCGTATTGTGGATTACTTGGCAAATGGTGTTTTATCAATGGGGAGGGGGGATTACAACAAATAGTAATGAGTCAATAATCAACACTTACTTCATTGAATAATAATTCTCGTCTTTGTTGTTTAAATATATTCATCTTTTTCACAGCAACATAATGTTTAGTTGGTGAATGTTGCATTAGATAAACTACACCTGTACTACCTTTACCAATTTTACAGATCTCTTGTAAATCAGCTCTAGGATCACCAGGTGTTACAATTTTACCTAATTCATCACGAAACTATAAGAAAAAATCAAAAAAAAAGGGGGGGAAAAACAGAGAAGGATTATTAAAACAAATTGATCATTGATCAATATGAAATACTCACAAAGCGACTATTTGAAACAAAAACCAATTTAGATTGTGTTGAGAAGTTGTAACTAAGCAACCAATGTGTAATGTACTGCAGACCACTATAGTTGTTTTCGATTTAGAGTTAGTATTCATCATTAGGGAACCATTGAAGATCTGGAGGCATTGGACACCTGTTTTATCCAACTAGTATAGGACTTCTCAGCAGTACTCACTCACGGCTAGGAATCGAACTAAGAACCTTCAGGTTTCATGGCGAACGTGTTAACCATTCACCCACTCGGTCGGTTTTCAGTGGTTGACAATTTTCAACTTCTGTCAATTCATGATGACATAGCGTAACTATTACCCAACGTCTTCAGTTAGCATACACGATTTGTTCAACAGAATTCCACTCTGAAACTGTTTGTTAGAGAAGGATGTACCTGAGAAATGTATTAACATCACAGGTAGGGTAAGGCAATATAACCACCTCTCTATTGTTCCAAACCGGCAGTCAGATTGACCAGGATTACCCGATTTCTTCATTCCTTTTCAACTTTCTCATCGATGACAGCTGTGAATGAGGTGCATAATAGTGGTGTAGATCTACTACCGGTAGAATGACTGTTCGGTTATCTGAATATGCGAACGAGATCATCTTACCGTGTGATAACACACAGGCTACTCAAACCAAACTTATTAAGTTGGCGATAACTGTCTCTAAGTATGTGGTTTACACTATCAAAATGCTAGCTAGTTTTGCATGATTGGTAGAAGCTTGTGCCTGCACTCACCTTCGGTGGTGAGCTGTTGGAAGTAGTTGAAAAGTTCGTGTAACTGTGAGTACTGGTGGATGTATGAGGGACGCCGATTTAGCCTACCTTTGCCACCGTCACCATATTAGCCTGGCTGTACAAGCTCGGGTTTACAACCCCTACTCTACGTATGTGAAATGTTGAGCCTCTGAACTGAGGGTGTTACACGAATCCGTGGGTTCAATCATTGTCATCTCCGTTGGATTGCTCGTTTCCAGTGGTAACAGCATGTAAGTAACTCTCAAGCACGACAGAGTTAGTTTAAGCATGATGGAGATCATAACTAAATAAGTAAAGTCGTCTGGAGACATTGGAGTCGGTGATTTGGACATATGTTACGCCTGTCATTAGAACGGTTTCCATAACTCTCACTACCTGCTAACCCTGAGAGTGGATGGGTTGTGGTTTTATTGTGTTCTCTGAAGAACTGGGTCGTTTAATCGTGCAGACGCTCTCATCCCCTTGCTGGACAGTGACATCATCCACATCACTAACTTAAGTATGAAGTGAGCTAGCTGTCAATATCTGTACATGAGTGATTTAGTGACTTGCTCTGACTATGTGGTCTGTGATCGGTTGTTTCCTTTGATTGTTGTGTCATTGACTGACTGTAAAGATTTTCCTGTTGGTGTTCCTCTGCTTCACCCCTGTTCACTTTTCTGTCGTTCATCATCTTTCTTATTAGTTGATAGATTGGGTCCATGTCTATACATCTGTGGATTGCTGAGTGACTGTCTGAGCTGAATGCCAAGCTTCTAGGAATTCTCTGATGATATTATTTGTGTTTCCTCTCTCCATCCAACATATTTACATTACATTCAAAAGAGCGAGAACACACTGCGCTGCAGTACAACAACTTCACAAAGAAACCAATTAAATTACTTGATGTCCATCCTAAACAAGAACTGCTACCCATGAAACTTTATCACAAAATGCCTATCCAGTACAACATCATCATCTACAAAGTCATCGACAGAAATCTACGAACGTATCATCCTACTGTACATAAAGAATCTATGAGGAATCATAACAAGATTAGTATGACCACGTGGAATTGATATGGGGCACGTCATCAACCAACAAATTCCCTCCTAACACTATTATGCAGACCGAAGGAGACGAACAACCAAAGAATAACTGTGGTCAACACTACATTCATTAGACAAAGTGGTCGCGTCACCTCCGCCTTCCTCTACATGAGAACATCAATTGGCTTATTGGTCAATCCATGTGGATAACAACTATGCAACACAGACTAGAAGCCAACATTCTATCTGTGATTAAACCAAAAATTAAAATTCGGTATATACACGATGCTTTTATCATCATTAAAAAAGGAAGGTGATACAGAGAACACTTATAGTTTCATCGACAACGGCCACACAAAGCGCACGCTTTCCAAACGTATCTCAGAGCACTACTATCCTTCATGGTTGTTGAGGAGAGAATGTAAATGAATTAATAGTTCAATTCTTGAACATTTGATCAACTCTGGACATATAGCGCACCACCAGAATCTTCTTTCAATGTCATTTATCGTGTTAGATGGAATAGTTCAAAAGGAGTACGCCTTCGATAGTTGTGCACAGCAGAGGCACTGGTAATTCATCAATTCAAGCCTGATCTCTGCGTGCAAATGAAGTATGTTCAATTTCTCATCTTATCATGGTCTTAACACTTTCATAATGTCTTCGATTTCATTATGATTAATTAGTCTATTATTATCACCGTCATTATGACCCTTGTCTCATTCTTCGCCTTCTTTACATCCATCTATCATCTATCAACTGGACACTCAATATTTGCGATTCTTATCTACCAACAATTTTCATCTTGTCAAACTCCTCGCCTTACTCGATATCTCTATTGTCTAAGTTTATGACGCAACTACTTTTAAGCACTAGGTTAATGATGTAATTATACCGTATTGTTTTGTAATAGACTGTTATATGTTTATGATGTATATAAATACGATTGTACAGCTTTAGAAGAAAGGTATCGTCGAAAAAGAAAAGAATTATCTCTTCTCTACAACAACATTTCCGCTTACCACATCAAATTCACAATAGAGAAGGAGTGGAACACAACCAACTACCATTCCTCGATGTGCTAGTCACAGGATGAATGCCGAATAAGTAGAAAGCCAAGTGTACAGGAAGTCAACATACACTGACTGATCAAATCCTCACCTATAGTAACAACAACACACAAGATCAGTGGCGTTCAGACTCTATTCAAAAGAGACAGAACACACTGTACTGGAGTACAACAACTTCACAAAGAAACCAATTAAATTACTTGATGTCCATCTTAAACTTTATCAGAAAATGCCTATCCCATACAACATCATCTACGAAGTCATCGTCAGAAATCTATAAACGCACCATCCTACTGTACATAAAGAATCTATGAGGAATCATGACAAGATTAGTAAGACCACGTGGAATTGATGTGGGGCACGTCATTAACCAACAAATTCCCTCCTAACACTATTATGCAGACCGAAGGAGACGAACAACCAAAGAATAACTGTGGTCAACACTACATTCATTCGACAAAGTGGTCGCATCACCTTCGCCTTCGTCTTCATGAGAACATCAATTGGCTTATTGGTCAATCCACGTGGATAACAACTATGCACATGAATTCAACTTTGACAATGTCGAAATGTTGGACGGAGAGAGGAAACACAAATAATATCATCAGAGGATTCCTAGAAGCTTGGTATTCAGCTCAGACAGTCACTCAGCAATCCACAGATGTATAGACATAGACCCAATCTATCAACCAATAAGAAAGATGATAAGGGACAGAAAAGTGAACAGGGGTGAAGCAGAGGAACAGCCAACAGGAAAATCTTTACAGTCAGTCAATGACACAACAATCAAAGGAAACAACCGATCACAGACCACATAGTCAGAGCAAGTCACTAAGTCACTCATGTACAGATATTGACAGCTAGCTCACTTCATGCTTAAGTTAGTGATGTGGATGATGTCACTGTCCAGCAAGGGGATGAGAGCGTCTGCACGATTAAACGACCCAGTTCTTCAGAGAACACAATACAACTAAGACCATCCATGTGAGCTACAAATATTCTCCACTATTTCGAAGTGGATGGGTAATCATTGTATCAGATTAGCATCTGTTGGTGCATCACGACTTCCTAGGTATGATCTAGGAGATAGCTCAACTTACTGGCTTGAGACGATATCAGAATTGGCTGAGAATTGAAACCATTAACGATCATACTGTAATTTCCTTCTGTCCACAGCTGCTGAGAAGTAATGAATGTTTCATTTCAAATGTATCTTATTGGACTGCCATTCTAATTATTCTATCCTTAGTATGTTTTCATTTCTTACTTATCCACTTCTCTTTGCTTTATGTCTTCATAATGTTGTGATTATTATTTTGTTTGGCGGATTCTTGGTGCTCTTGTTGTACCATGTTTATATTCTAATAACAATAATAGTAATATTCTCAGTTAAAGCCACGATGAAATGACATTGACGCTTCTAATATTCACAGTTAGTTGTCAGCCTCATCGCCAACTGTATCTATTCAATAGCATAATGAGGTTTTCAGTCCTACTGGTATTGTGAAGGTGTCCCTTATCAACTTAGATGTTCATCTTGTAACCGATAAATCTCATTGTATTTATTTCAGTACTTGAAAAACTAGATCGCATTATAGATCTTTACACAACAAAACTGGCGCCATAACTTCAGTGTAAACTATGTAACGTTTCTTTTCATTTTCCAGTATGAGTTTTAATTGTTCTCTTCCATTCTGCCCATATCTCATATGAACACATCAAGTAAACGAGAGGGTATATTGGAAGAAGAAGGAGAGAAAAATCGATAAAGGAAGTAAAAAGCAGTAAGAGAAACAAAGGAGTGATGAGATGATAAAGATAATGTGTGTGGGGATACATCTGCAGTACTGTCATCGGTTCTCAGCAGCATCACCTAGATACTCCAACCACTGTTGGTTTCTCTTGTCTCGTTGACCCCAACCGGCTAGTCTAAAATCGCCCTGCATAGCTGAAACTAACAGTCAAAGACTTCATGTATTGATGCTGTGTTTTAGTCGGACCCCACAGAGCTCTTTTTCAGCCTGAACCTAATTCAACCAACATTGTGTGACGATACAGACGGTAACTAGCCATTAATGTATAACACAATTCCCAGTTAGCCATCTCAATTAATGAAGGTTCACAACAGCACTAACTGTCTTACCTCTCCCATCATCCCGAAAACTCTATGTCTGACATCTGCGTTACTGATGTGATGACATCGTGAAACATGGTCTATGCTAAGAAGGCAAGGGTGGTAAAACATCTGAAACCTTCTCATGTTCTCCATATTTAATGGTGATGTTTCACAACCATAGAGTAGAACAGAGAGGACTGGCACACAGTACACTCGACCCTTAATCAAGAGTTGGATATCACGACGATGTCTCAGATGACGTAAGAGTTAGCGAAAGTCAATCCAGCCTTCAGTATGTTTGTACAGATTTCGCTCTACCACTGATGAACGCATCAGAGTTGATCCAACTTCCAAGAAATGTGAATTAGCCAACACATTCAACCTCTTCACTGTCCACTATCAGTTAGGTTACCGATAAAGACACCTCCTCATGAGAGAAATGAAGCCCAGTTGCCACACAATATTCCTGGAAAAGAAAATATGCTAACCCCAACGGATAGGAGATAGTATGTAGCCACGAGTCAACTAACTAGATAGTAAAGCAATGAAGAGCAACCATTGTTCATCACTTAAAACCCATAGGTGAGAATTTGCTCACCCTTCAAGTCAATTGTAGACATAAATTCAATGAACTAAGCCAAGGCGAAATATCACTTGAGTTACCTGAAGTTTTTAACCTCTCTCTAGCTGATTTTGTCTGTCATCACCTCAAGAAGGTAAGAATGAAACTTTCTACTTCGAAAGCGCACGAAAATCAGATCGAAATATGCTTTTCATGAACATAAGAAAACCTTAAAATTTGTTCTGCTGCATACTACTTATATGAACACATATCAGTAGTACTAAACCATGATAATATTAAGTTATCATATAATCGGTAGCGATTGCAAAGAAGAAAGAACGAGAAATACAGGAAGTAAATTCTTTTTTTAAGGTGAATAAAACAGTGAGAAAAATTGAAAACCAACTCATCTCAGATGTACTGGAAGTCAGAAACTATTCGTATTTGGAACTTCATCAACCGTCGACTGTTTCTCTAACAACAGCATTACAAGTTATATGGTCAAATCAATTTCAAAGAAAGTACTTGACATGAGTATTAATTCAAAGAGATCATCAGTATTTGCAGTGGAATTAGCTACAGCATCATGACTTCCAAATAACGCCACTTCAATCATCAGGGCACTCTATACACTAAATGAGTGCTATCACTTATATGAAAGATGCTTCGAATAGAATTTATTGTTCATTATCAGATGGGGTCTAGGCAACTGTAAAACTGTCATCTGCTTTTTGTTATAGAAAAATATGTGAAGTTAACTTTCAGATTATTATGAATGACAAATTGCGAACGGAACGTCATCCAGTTGAATGAAAATATCCCCAACCAACCATGTGAAATCGAAGAAAACACATTGAAATACCCTTCGATTCTACAGTATTAGGAAGATATAAAGGATTCCAAACAGATATGCGTATAATGTCTAATGTGAACTCACAGAATCGCTAAGAAACCAACTTTATTGGGAAAAGTACCCGTTACAGCCATCAGGTTGTTCCCTTTACCTCTTCACATTCCCTGCAATGATCTTGAAGTTAAGTAAATAGGTCAGAATAGTCCGACAGTGTCGATTGAAATAAGAGAGAGCTGAACCTTGGCGGTTTATGAGAAATGTCACCCACTACAACGTATGCGATCACAAACACATGCACACAATTTGGGGATGACATTACTTGAAACTAACTCAGTGGGCTAACTTCGCCTGGTTAACTAGTTCACTAGTTACTAGCCACTACTAAGCCCGGGTAAAAAGGGAAGGTTGGGCATAGGCATAGCAACCCTACCCCGCCAAACCAATCCAACCGCTAAACAAACTTCAAAGCACACACGAAATGGCTAAAATAGAAATAAAGTTATTCCTCACTGCAATCGGAGAGACGAAATGACGCCAGTTGGTGAAAGCCTTCGAGAAGCCATTTGGCCGATGTGGCTTCTCTCGACGAAAACGAAAGTAAGATTGGGGACATGGAATGTCCGCACGATGTTTGAACCCAGCAAAGCAGCCCAGATTGCAAACGAGATGAGAAGGTATCACATTGAAGTGCCTGGAATTTGCGAAAGCAGATGCAACGGGAGTGGACTCTCCAAGCTGTCAACTGGAGAATCAATAATCTACTCCGACACTGTCACCCAGACGACAACCGCAAGCCCACTGGGTTATAGAGTGGCTATCATGATGTCCCCTTGTAGAGCATTGAAGGCTCACTCTCATGCAGTGGGAACCAATCTCCTCCTGCTGGATCATGACAGCAAGGTTCAACTCAAAAGGAAGGAAGGAAGGTCACAATCATACAATGCTATGCACCTACAAATAATGCAGATGAAGATAAAAAAGAGGAATTCCACAGACAACTTCAAGCAACACTGGACAAGACGTCAGTTGGCGACATCAAAATTCTAATGGGCCCACATGAATGCCAAACTGGGAGCAGATAACACAGGAAGAGAACTAACCATGGGTTGAGAAGCGATCGGTGAAATGAACAAGAACGGAGAACTGTTTGCAGACTTCTGCGCATTCAACGACTTGGTGATTGGAGGGACTATGTTAAAGCACAAGGATATCCACAAAGCGACATGGACTTCACCAGATGAGCACACTGAACATCAGAGCGACTTCATGTGAATTTGAAGAAGGTGGAGACGCAGTCTACTCGACACAAGATCAAGAAGGGGAGCAGATGTAGGCTCAAACCGCTGTCTAGTGCAAGAAACCTTCCAAATCAAGTTGGAAACTTTTGAAGAAATTGATGATAGACCACAGTTCAAGTTCAACACCCAGAACAGAAACTGAAAGATGAAACTACAAGTAACATCCTCACATCAGCCATCAAGACAAAATGGGAGACAATGAGCAACATCCATGAAGAAACCTGTCTGGATGAACACTGGAACTCTTTGAAGGCTATGTGGTAAGGAACCTGCATAACTGTATTAGGAAGGAAGAAGAAAGAAGATCAGGAATGGATCTCGATGGACACATGGAAGCTGATAGAATAGGGAGAGGAAGATGATGAAGCAGAAGATAAACCAGTGCAAGGATGAATAACAAGAAGAGTAACTGAATACAACTCATAAAACACTGGACAAAGAAGTGTGGAAGAGTACGCGGGAAGATAAAAGACACTTCCACGACACACTTGCAAGTGAAGTAGAACAGGCAGCTGGTAGAAGAGACCTGACAACATTGTATCAAATAACCAGGTTACTATCTGGGAAGAGATCAACATACATGAAACCAATAAAAGATGATGAAGGAAATCTAATTACTGAAGAAGATCAACAAAGGAAACGATGGGCTGACCACTTCAAGAAGCTCTTGAATCGACCACCATCTGCACTTCGTCCAGAAATACCACCTGCAGCCACAGAACTACAAGTGAACACAAAACCTTCAACAAAAGTCAAATTCCTGAGAGCTATAAAGCTACTGAAATGTGGGAAAGCAGCAGGACCAGATGGAATCCCAACAAAAGCACTGAGAACATACACAGGGACAACAGCGGACGCGCTCACACCACTATTGTAGAAGGTCTGGAAGGAAGGGAAGGTACCTGGGGATTGGAAGAAGAGCTATCCTGTCAAACTCTCGAAGAAGGGAGACCCCAGTGTTTGCAAGAACTGGCGCGGAATCATGCTGCTGTCCACCTCAAGCAAGCAAACTATTATGCCGCATCATTCTGTAGAGACTAAACCATGCGCTGGATTCAAATCTACGACCGGAACAGGCTGGCTTCAGGAAGAACAAATCATGTGCGCATCAAATTGCAACGCTAAGCTATGTATCATCACAGAACAGAGTATAGAATGGCAGTCAACTCTACACCTCAAGTTTATTGACTTTGAGAAGGCCTTTGACAGCGTCGACAGAGAGGTGATTTGGCAACTGCTTCAACACTACAGAATACCGCAAACCTTTATCAATCTCATTCAACAACTATCTGGAGACGCCACATGCCAAGTGATTGACATTGGGGAGTGCAGTGATGCCTTTGAAGTGAAGTGAAGACAGGAGTAAGACAAGGTTGCTGTCTGCTATCACCGATGATCTTCCTGATTGTGGTCGACTGGATCATGTAGCAAACAGTGAGCAGCGGGAAGAGAAGAATACACTGGACCGCAGAAAAAATCCTAGAGGATTTGTATTTCACCGATGACTTGTGTCAAATGTCATACAAACTTGAAGATCTACAGGCAAAATTCAACAAGTTGACAGAACAGGCAGGGCAGCAAAGTTGCGACTCCCTTCATGTGAACGTAGAGAAGACAGAGGTAATGATGATACCTAACCAAGGCCACCACCAACAAGAACAACATGCTCCAATCACCATGAATGGGAGAAACTTAAAGGAAGTAGCCTCTTTCACCTACCTACCTACCTAGGTAATGTAGCATCGTTTCAACTACAGGCAGCGGCACTCAGCACAAAGAACAAGATTCAGATTTTCAAAACCAATTCAGTGAAGTCAGTGCTGCTATATAGCTCAGAAACTTAGCGTATCACAAAAAACATTTCTAACAAACTGAAGACATTCATCAACAGCTGTTGCCTACGCCCACTCGATACTGAAGTTCAGATGGTCAGAAAGAATATGCAACAATGAATTCACTGTGGCTAGTGATGAACCAATCAAGAATGAAGTGCAGGTGGATTAGCATACACTGAGAAGACTTTTCAGGGATATCACGTGCCAGGCTAGGTCGTTGAGTGGAACCTAGATGGGAATTGATGAGTTAGGTGTCCAAGTCAAGGGTGACATGGACGATATGATGCCCTATGTTCCACAAATAATATAATCATAATAATAAATTGGTTAAAAGGGATTAGATTAGATTACTAATTCAACTCACCTGTTCAGCATTCAATAGACAAAAAGCATTTTCATCAATTATCATATCAGTTTTTATCTTTATAGGCTTATAAACTTTATTCATATTATTATTATAGTGTTGATTATTCAATGGATATTGTTTCATTGGGGTACTAGTTAAATGATTCATTGTATTTCTATATGGAGAAAATTGTGATTGATCATGATGCTGATGATGTTCACGGTGATTAGGAGATGAATTTGGTAAATAATATTCACCTGATTGATATTTTGTTTCATTAGATGATAATTGATAATTGATTAGTAAATCAGTAGTCGAACTATTTGATCGTTGTAAAGATTTTTTATGATGATTAGTTAATAGTTGATTATCTCTATCAGTATTAATTATTGAATTATTGGCATGATGCCAATCATGAAGATGATATTGTGATAATATATTCTGTTTCAATTTATTGTCTAATTGGCAATCAGTTATTGATTTTTTGATTGTTATCTTTGGTGTAGAATAATTGAAATTCGACAATGTAGGCATAGTCATTGCATTATATGCTGAATTGTTAACTTGATATGGTCGAATACAAGTTTTATCAGTATTCTTAACCTAGAATAATTGAAAAAAAAGGAAGGAAGGAAGGAAAGTAGAAAATTATCATCATAAACTGATATTTTGGAGCATTGAACAGCTGTTTCGTTCAACTAGAGATCGAATTCAAGACCTTTAGGTAACCATCCAGCCACTGGGTTGGTTTTCAATGGTTCACAATTTCCAACTTCTGTCAATTCATGATGACATAGCGCGACTATCACTCAAGGTCTTCAATTAGCATCCACTTTTACTTCCGACTAGTTGACCCCATAGGTTACAGCTTCTCATTAAAGCTTCGTGATATCCATCTATCCCTAGCCGGATCGTGGTTACATACTGCTGAAGAGTTCCATACTAGTTGGACAAAACAGCTGTTCAATGCTCCCAGATCTTCAATGATTCCCCAACTGATGTTAGTGCATGATGAATACTACTTCGAAATTATTAAAACAAAATCCCCATTCATCTCAACTAATACATTACTGTATAGTGCTCACTAGTGACTTGCTTCCAGATGGATATTAGGAAGCTCTAATGAGAAGCTTTGACCTGTAGGGTGAACCAGTTGGAAGTGAACTGGATACTAACTGAAGACTTTGGGTGACAGTCACGCTATGCTATGAATTGACAGAAGCTGGAAACTGTGAACCGCTGAAAACTGACTCATTGGCTGGATGGTTACCTGATGGTCCTGAGTTCCATCCCTAGTCGGGTCGTGGGTGCGTACTGTTGAGAATTCCCATGCTAGTTGGAAGAAACAGCTATTCAATGCTCGCAGATTTTCAACGATTCCCTAACTGATGTCAGTCCATGATAAATACTACTTCGAAACCAAAGATCTCCATTCATCTCAAAAAGATAAAATTATCAACCGATATTTTTGTTTTGTTTTGGAGTTTCTTTCAGTTAGTAACTAATTAATTCTTCAATGTTATAGCTTGTAAATCTATGTTAATCTTCCTGTATAGAGTCCGCAATATTGTGAGTATTTATAAGTTTCATCATCAAGATGATGAGTCCAAAATGAGACGAAACACAAATCATTCTTTAAACCTCTTTACAAGGTTTTCAGTGATCTAAAATCAATTTGTCTACTTTAAATGCCACAGTAGTTTCATATCATTGCCATTGTCTCTGTACTAAAACGCTTTTTATTTGAAAAGATTGTCACCACTCACAGTAAGTCCTGGATTGCAAACTGATTTCATTCTTACATTTTATTTGTCTGACAGCGAACCAACCAAGAACCTATCACTCAACAAAATATGCAGAAGAAGGAAGTGGAGATGGATTGGACATACACTGAGAACACCATTCGAGGACATCATGTGCCAGGCCAGGTCGTCGAGTGGAATCGAAAGGGGAAAAGACTAGTTGGGCGTCCAAGCTGAGGGTGACATGGAGGAGGAGATGGTGTGAGGAAGAGATGAGAGCTTGTGGGCAGTTCAAAGACTGCAGTGTAGAGAGGGCAATGAAGGCGTGCTACTGAAGCTCTATGTCCCACTAAGAACCCAAGAAATAACTATTAATAATAATAACTTGTCTGATAGGAGACAGTACACTCTATACAGAGGGAAACGTTCTACTTTGATGATTAATGAAGATGATTTGCTTCGAGGTGATGTTCTCTTCCCTTTCCTATGCCTTACTTAAGTCAACTCTTCCCATTATTCTCCGGTTAATAACGTCTTAAAAGAGATTAGCTATTGGTCTTCCGAAAACTAGCCTCACATTCAATCCCTCTAAAATATCAGATGGTTAATTTTAGTCTAAGATGTAGAAAAAACTTTTGTTAACTGCTGCAATCCTATAACTTTTGTCTCCATTGTAAAAAAATGTATCAAGTATGATGCATGATGGCTAATGGCTTTCCTCTGATCTTTCTTGATCTTTTCATTTTCTTACTGAAGATTGTCTGGCATTACTTAGACTCTACTCGTACGTTTCATTAATTCTTGTGTTTTGCCTACACTTAATTATAGTTCAGTTCCGTTTTATTATTTCTTGGACTCTGGAAAACACTACGCTGTATTCACCTAGGATTGTGTTACCCGCTTTCCATTCGAATCCTGAATGGAACATTCAGATAGGTCCTCCAACACTAGGAGAAGTAGAGAAAGCTGTAGGTAATCTAAAACGAGAAAGGGCAGCAGGACCAGACAGAATAACTCCAGAGGTATACAAAGATGGTGTTAACTAGTATACCGGAATCAAATATGGTCCCCTCTGACTGGTCTAAATCACTGGTTATCTCAATCTTCAGGAAAGGCGAGAAATCCTCTTGTGATAACCCACATAGAACATAGTGTCCAAGATCCTAAGTTTTATAATTCTCCAACGACTGAGTGGAGCTCAGGAACAGCAAGCCCGAGAAAACTAGGCAGAATTTAGATCCGGCTGTGGATGCGTCGACAAATATTAACACTCCGCCAGGTCCTGGAACATAGACACGCTTACCGACACCCGACACTAGCTATGTTTCTCGAACTGTAGGCGGCATTCGACTCCATTGATCGAGAAGTCTTATGGCAATGTCTCTCACTGAAAGGTGTGCCCAGTAAGTACATCGAACACTTGTGGGGGCGTTAAAGCCTCAGGTGAGATGTCCAGGGAGCTATGCTCATCGGGTAGTGTCCATCAAGGATGTCCACTCTCTCCATCATTATTTAACTTCATCATACATATTCTTATGAAGGTCTCCGCCTCGTCACCAGGTTACACAGACGTTGACCTAATCATAGAAGAATTTTCCTTAGACCTAAAATATGCAGATGACATAGTCAGTTCTGTTAGGCGAAGACAATGACAAGATACAGAGTCTTCTGAACAATTTGATTAGGGATTTGAGAATATTTTTGTGATGCGTTCTCACCAACCAAATACAATTTGTTGCTCCGGGATTATTCTTAAACGGTGCCACGGCTAACAACAGAGAGTAAAGTGGTTGAGTGTATCGACCACTCCACTTACCTTAAAAGAAGGATCAGCCCTGCCCCGTGATTCAGTAGCCGACGAAATCTCTCCAAGGATAGAAAAAGCTCGGTTGGCTTTTGCCAATTTACGCCATTTGTGGCGCCGCCGTGATATACAATTGTCTACTGAGCATCGTGCTTCAAGTGTTCGACCACTATCGCCTTCGTAGTATAGGCTACGTCGTATTCCATGTTGTCATCACGTGAGCAATCCAGAAGTCAGGTATAGAATTTTATAGAAGGAGAAGAAGTAAATCAGTGACGAGGTTATGAACCTTCATCTACTAAGATGGTTGGGACACATACCACCTATGCCTAGTCGCCAATTGCCTCATCACACAATATTGACAGAAGTAGGTTCAGGCAAGTAGAAAAACCTGAGATGGCCAAACTAAGACATGTCATCAATGCATGAAGTCTGTGACTGTTGGTTTGAGGCAAGGGGGCGATGCCGACTAGGTGGTTGGTGTCTGTGGGACAAGAGGAACCAACAGTGGTTGGAGACTCTAGGTGATGGTATGACTCAGAATCGATGTCAGTGGCACAGATGTATTCCCATACACATTATCCTCATTTTAACGAATATATACCGAATCTCACCATTTTGACATTCTTCCTTTCTTTCTTCTTGTACATTGTATTTCTTTTCACTGAATTTCCTTATAATCGTCTTTCACCTCACTACCTTTCTATTTGATGTACTGATATGATGAGGTGTGGCAACTGGGATCGTTACGCAGTAATGCCTGGTCCTATGTTGATATTGATGATGATGATGATGACGGTTTTAAAGGTTGTGAGTAGAATTGATAAATGCGGTTGAATAAGCATCTCAACTCTTGTAAACAGCTGGTAGTAAATATTTCTTATATCCAACGGCATGTACAGCCTTTCTCCATGTCTAGCCTACTTGATGACAAGAAGCAAACTGAATTAAACTCTATGATCACATAACTACAAACCAATACACCACTTTAGTTAGCTTGTGTGTATGTTTTCTGGAGGGGGGCGGAAGTGAAATCATGTTAGTTCATTTATTCTTCATATTATTTGTCCCTTGGGTTCCAAGTGGAACATACGACTTCAGTAGCACGTCTCCATTACACTCTCTTCTTTGCAATCGTTTCAACCTGGTTCCACAACAGCCTGGAAGCTCTCATTTCTTCCGCATACCATCTCCTCCTCCATGTCACCCTCAGCTTGGACGCCCAACTCGTCGTTTACTAACTGGGTTCCACTCGACGGACTGGTCTGGCACATGACGTCCTCGAATGGTGTTCTCAGTGCATGTCCAATCCATCTCCACTCCCTTCTTCTGCATATTTTGTTCAGTGATAGGTTCTGGGTTGGTTTGTCACCAGCCAGCAAGAGTTCCTTGTTGCTTATTCTTCTCATTCTGACCATCTGATCTGAGCTTCAGTAACGAGCCAGCATAGGCAGTTGTTGGTAAATATCTGTAGTTTGTTGGAAATGGTTTTCGTAACCCGCCAAGTCTCTGAACCATATAGCAGCATGAATTGACTGAATTGGTGTAGAAAATCCGTATCTTGTTCCACATGCTGAGTGCAGTGCAGAAGATCTCCACACTGGCTTCAGGTTACATCATAGTCAATTAGAATTTCAACAATTCTGTTATACATTTCACTTTGAAATTCATTATATTCTGACATTAGTTGGAGGAAGACTGGGAACGTGGAAGCGTTAGATAGCATCTGTCTTGCTCTAGTATGATACGTTTTAGCAGTATGGACACACGACCACGTCCAGGATAAATGTTCCTTTCGGACGATCTTCGAAAAATTTAGAACACAAAGTAACATTTTATTCTAGTACTTCTCATGAATATGAGTGTTAACAACAGGGAAGAATTCACTCCACTTAAATACATAGATTTTCTAAAATTCATAAACTATGAATCCCCTACAGCCTATACTCTAGCTCAATGTTAAATTGGTGGCCACGAAACCTGAAGGTCGAGGGTTCGATCCCTGGTCGTGCGGGTTCATGGGTGCGCACTGCTGATGAGTTCCATACTAGTCGGAC